TGACCCACGCGGCAGGCAGCAGGCTCTGGGGCAGCGCCCCCTCCCCTGCCAGACTCCTGGGGCCCCGTGCCAACGCTGGAGGGCTGAGGTGGGTTACCCCAGTGTGGGGTGTTGGCGCTGGTGCAGTCCAGCCAGGACGTGGAGGGGCGGCCCCCCCTGGGCCTCACTCGCTGTGTCCTTTTGTCCACAGGCGCCAGAGGGGCCCGACCGCCTGCGGGCTGCATCAGTCCCAGCTGTGGGGGACGGAGCCCCTGGCTCTGGCCTCTTCCTTCTGACCAGTGAGTGCCCTGCAGGGGGCAGTGGAGGTGGCTTCCTAGCCATGTGGTCCGATCGGGACAGGCCGGCTGAGAGCACTGTGCTGAGGGTGGACGTGGTAGGAGCCACTGGGCGGCATCAGGACCGGCCTTGCCACCAAGACCTGGTGCTCTCTGCCGCTCAGAGCTGCACCTGCTGTGGCGTGGATTGGCCCTGGACCAGCTATGTGGCGCGGAACCACCCCACACAGGCTGGCGCCGTCCCCAGGTCCCCACGTCCCCTGCCTGGGGCTCCTGCCCCTTTCCCATCCTGGGGTGCGGCTGGGTCCTGGGGTACCAAGGGGTCTACTGCACCCACACACGAGTGCCCTGCCATCCTGCACACGCCCAGATTTGACACACCGCATGCACAAGCTAAGGGTTGCCTGTGTGCACACCCAGCTGGCTCATGCGTGGACACGATGTGTACACAGGAATTTGCGAGTGGGCAGGTGCCAGGGCTGCACAGGAGCATGGGCTGGCACTGCAGTGTGGCTCGGCCCCCCAGCTGGGACCCTTCTTTTGCAAACTGGCATTTCTGCAGCAGTCCTTTCTATCAGTGGGATCTGTCAAAACACCCTGGGATTGTTTACTGAGCCGTGCAAGAACTTCTTGTCTCCCATCCAGCCCCGCCTTCCAGAGGGATCAGAAACGTGCCCGGCCCTGTGCTGGGCCAGGCGTGAGGTGCCAGCCATACCTGTCTTCTTAAAGGGCCAGCTGGTGCTTCTCAGGCAGGCACGGGGGCCTGGGCAGAGCGGCTGCCGCCTGGAAGGTCCCTAACTCCTCTGGTCTGGCCCCAGCTGGGATGCACGGCCCAAGCCTGGGGACTGTGAGGGCCCATGTCCACTCCCTACGGTGGGCGCCACCCCTCCCCACCCCTTCGCAGCCCCACCTGGTGCCCGGTGTCTCGGCCTCCTCTGCCTGTCCTGCAGTGCAGCATCACTGGGGGCGTCAGAACACCCTGTCGGGCCAGGCCCCTGCATGAGGGTATGTGTCCCCTCGTCACAGGCCTGTGGCTCACATTGGACAGGCAGCGCTACCCAAAATGGGGAGGGGCCCCAGCCTAGCCGACCACCTGGACTCTGGCTGGGCCTGACAGAGGGCCAGCAGGACCTTCTCCTGCACCACACCTCCCACCTGTCCCCAGAGCAGGGCCTGCCCTGTCCAGCACCAGGCCCCAGTTGCATGGCCACAGTGCTGGCCCTTGGTGGCCGAATGGTGCTCGGGGTCCTGGGCCTGGCGCTCCTGGCACTGGAGCCGGGGGCGGCCACAGGAGGTGGCAGTGTCAGCGCAGCTCAGCCTGGGCTCTGAGTCGGGGCCATGAAGGCCTGGGCATGTGGCCACCTGCATGCGCCTCGGTTTCCTTCTTGGAAATGAAGGCAGGGGCTGGCTTGGTGTGCCCAGGTGGCTGCCACCCACTCGTGGCCAGGTGCCTCTGGGAGGTGGAGGGACACCTGCCTGTCTCCCCCGAGGCCGGGTTCTTCCCCACCTCTGTCTCCGGGTGGCCCATGAGGGGCAGAGGCAAAGGACAGTCCCCATGGGGTGAGGCTGGGCCACCCTGGCCTCCCCTGAACACAGGCCTGCCCCGCAGTATCCCTATCCCCACCGGTGTCCCAGTGCTTGGGCTTCCCCATCCTGAGCCTCCTCTTGGACAGGGCACTGCTGGGGTCTGGGGCCTGGAGTACTTCCCGTCCCACGGGCCTCTGTCAGAGGGAACAGGCTCCCCTGTAGGCTGTTGTGGGGTGCTGCTCGCCGGGAAAGGGCTGGGAGGGGCCCAGGAACCCTGTTCTTTCCGCCTTCCCTGCTCCTGTAGTCGCTCTGCCCAGCCTCCCCTCTCCAGCCCTCACCTACTCAGAACCCAGGCCCGGCTGTGTCCTTCGGGGCCTGGAACTTCCTCTCTGCTGCCCACAGGGGCCCCGGCTCCCTCCAGGAGGATGCTCGGTCTCCCTTCGGTCCACCTTCTGGCCCTGCTTGCGGATTCACCATCCCTGGCATCCGCACTGTCCTCCTGCCAGGACTAAGTCACCAGGGCCTGTCCTGCGGGTGGTGAGTACCCTGCTTCCTGCTGTTGCCTGTGAGCCTCTGGGTCCCCTCAGCCCGACGTGGTCAGGCCCTTGGTGGTTCCCCTGCGCCTGGTAATGTGCTTCGTGAGTCTGGATGGTGTGTGGCCCCTCAGTGGGCTTTCTGGACCCTGCTATCCACTGCTGTCTCGGTTCCTATGGCAGCACCCAGGTGGTATGTTCCAGGTGGCCCTACTGCCCAGGGCTGCACTTTGAGTTCCTCTCCCAGCCCCTCCTCTCTTGCCCGCCGCCTCCACAGTGCCGAGATCCCGATGCTGTGGGTTTCCGAGTCCAGTGGCCACATGCGGGTTTCCTGCCTCCCTCTCCTCGGCCACTCACCCTGGTGTGCAGCCCCGTCCTTCCGCTAAATCCTTACAGCCGTCCCCCTGCACCGCTCAGGGGCCCCACCTTCTCTGTCTTGGACCCTCACCTGTGCATGTGCACACTGCACCCCACTTTGCTCCCGGCCCCTGGGCCGAGGACGCCATACTGAGGACAGGCAGCCGGGCCTCGGGCTACGTGGTGGCTGTGGGGTTGGGTGCTTGGATGTTTGGGGGGCAATGCTGTTTTCAGTGCCACCAGAGGCAGCTCTGCCCTTGTTTGGTTTCGAGCGTCGGGTGGGAGAAGTTTGTGGGCCACGAGGGGACGGCGGAGGGGTCTGTGGAGAGCGCGTGACCGTGGCTATCCACTCTGTGGGGCTGGCCTGTTTCTCACCCTGCTGAGTACAGCCCAGTGCCCGTTGGACAGGCAGGTAAACCAGGGCCAGGAGGAGCAGGGCAGGGCAGTAGGGAGCTCCCAGGCCGACCAGGTGGGCCCCAGCTGAGGCCTCCCCATGTCGGCCCTGCACGGCCCCTGGCTGGGCATGGGCAGAGTCAGAGAGCTGTGCCCTGGGCCAAGCTGGCAGCCGCCTCCCACAGCCCTGCCAGAACCCATGGGCCCACGGTGCCCAGGGAGCCTGTCGCTGCCCTTCTCCCTTCTCCAGCCCTATTTACCCGCTCTCTGCAGAGCAGCCACATCTCCGGGGGAAGGGGTGGCGCCCAGCTCCAGGTGGGGCGTCTGTCTCAAGGAGCCCTTACCGCAAAGCCAGCCGGGGCTTCCTGCTGAGGGAAGGGGTCCAGGGCACCGGGGACCCACGGGGCCCAGCTTCCCACTGGGCTCTCCTGGGTGGGCAACAGCCCCAGGCAGTGACCGCGGGGGACTCGGGGTCGTGAGGAGCCAGGACGCAGGAGCAGGAAGCAGAGTTAGACGCCAGCCAAGGGGGTTTCCGTCCCAGCAGTGCTGTCCTAACCGGGACACTAGCGAGGTTCTGCTTCCCCACGCTCCACTCCATTCCCAGAGGACTCAGTAGGTGCCTGCTGTATGCCAGGCAGGAACTGAAGTGTGTGCGACTCCAGGCTGCTGGGGACAGGGTGGGAAGGGAACCCCATGGGGACGGACAGCAACATGGCCCCCGGGAGTCCCCTCACCCCTTCTGCAGGCTGCCTGGCACTGTTCTGAAATCTCTCCAATTGCACATATCCCAGAGCACCCAGAAGTGCCAGAAAGGCAGCATAATGTCCCCCACCCGAGGGTGCAGCCCAGAGACCAAGCTGGGGGACAAGGGGCCACAGTGGTGTGTGGGGCACTTAGCAGTCATCAAGTTGCCAGTGGCAGCCAGGTGGGACCTTAGCAGCCAGCTGGCTCTGGGTGGGGTGGGCTGTGGCCAGGGGGGTCTTCGTGGAACAGGGCGGTTCTGCAGGCTCAGGGCACAGGACAGCCACCAGGAGGGTGGGGACACCGACGACGCAGGCACGCACTTGGGTTTGGACCCAGAAGCAATAGCGAGAGCCAGGTAAGTTCTCCCTTCCTCCCTCGCTCACTGCTCACCACTGGCCCGCTTTCGTGGCCCTATGTGGCTGGGCCTGGTCACAGCCCCTCCATGACACTGAGCAGAGTGGGAAAAGCGTGGGGAACTGGCAAGGCGTGCAGGCCCAGAGATCAAGGGGACAGGGCGAAAACTGGCTCAGGGAGGAAAGAGACGGACTGAGGTGGTGCCACTAGGTAGGGGTGGGTCTGGGGCTGGAACCTCCTGAGGTCTGGAGAGAGCCGGGCCCTTCCCTCAGAGATGGTCCCATGTCAGTGCGTCCATCCTCTGCCTCTGCAGGCTGCCCAAGGAGCCAGCCAGCTGCAGGACAAGAGAGATTGGAAAGCACATGCAGACCTTTCTCCTTGTCGTCCCCCAGACGTCGGAGTTTAGCGACTGTTTACACAGGTGCAGTGCTGGTCTGTACGGGATCCAGAGAGGACTTAAAATCCAGAGGCTGTGAGAAGCACCGCCGTAAGAGCACCCGCGAATCTGGGCTCTGCAAGGAGGGGGCGCCTGGAACCAGTCTCCCCAGCCGCCCCCTGATGGCTGTGTGCAGTTTCAAGGGACACAAAGGTTCCTGTGGCCCAGTGTGGACGGGCTGGGGTCTCCGCAGGGCTCCGGCATTGGGGTGGCCTGGGGTGCACACAGCAGTGCGCGGGCCAGGGCTGAGAGGCTGGGGGAGCACCCCCGGGGGAAGCAGCCCGTTCCTGTACCAGGATGTGGCCCTGCGTGAGCGGGTGTGGCTGGGCGTTGGCACCGCATGAGCTCTGAGCCCGGCTGGCGAGTGCGGAGTCTTTGTGGTTCGTGGTTCGAGGCTCTGAGCCTTTCTCCCTCTCCGTGGCATCCTGGACATGAAGCAGATGGGAGGTTTTCCCACACCGTGAAGTTAGGGCACAGTGCTCAGGATCCCAGACAGGGCCTCGGCATCAACCTACCGGCTATGCCTCAGGTCCCACACCTGTGACCGTCCCCGCCAGGCTGAGGGGGACACACATCACAGCCAGAGGACCTGTTGTGTGCAGGCTGACATGTGGGCCGCAGCTGTGATCCGTGGGGACATGGCAGTGGCCGCTGGACTGCTTGGGCACCGCACATCCACCTGGTTGGCAGTGTACCCCTTCTGGTGCCTTTGCAGATAAGTAACAGGTAAAGGGCCTGTTTGGATCATGCCCACTGAACGTGTACACGGATGCTTCACGGCGGGTGGCTGTTACAGCTTGACGCACTCCATGACTATGGCCAGAGCTGTTATGGCACAGCTCGCAGTGTAGCACCCAGTAAAGAGCTGGAGGTGAAATTCCCAGCATCCTCTGGAGACGCTGGCAGGGAGCGAGGTCCCCAGGACCCCAGGGTTTGAGGTCATGGGAAGAGCAGAGCCGCAGAGGGTGACCTGGCACTCAGCTTCTTGCTTGTCATTTGGGGAATTCAGTACCACCAGATGCAGCTCCAGAGGCTGAAAACGCAGGCCCAGAGACAGGTGGGCGCGTGGAAACTCAGGTTTGGCCCGTGGGGTCGATAAAAATCGAGCAGCAAAGATCCTGGTGGGAAAGGAAGCAAGTAAGCCCAAAGCCCTGATGTGGCCCCTTCTGGAAGAGGTGACTCTCAGAGTTGGGCAGAGCAGGGTCCTGAGCAGCCTGGAGAAGCTTCCCTCGATGGAAGAGCCACACACTGGGGAGACAAAGTGGGGTTTTAGGGCTTGCCAAGCTCTCTGTTGGGGGTGCCTAGAAGGGTTCTCACTAGGAAAGGGGCGCAGAGGTATAGCGGTCCTGAAACTCTGAGAAAGGTTCACATACACACACACACAAAGGGAAAAAGAGGCCACGGCCACAAGCACTGTGTAAAGGGCGACCACAGGAGAGCATTAAAATTCCACTCAAAAGGATGGGTGGTAAAATGGATTTCACCAGACAGGAGTCTGTTGAAAAAAAAGGAAAACTGGGATCAAATCCAATCTGATGTACCTGTGCATGGTAGGTAGGTGCTCTACCATTAGCTACCAGGTGTGAGGAAAACACAGTGTGAACAGTAGTAAAAACAGTAGCAACAGGTATAAAAACCAGTTGATTAGCCGGGTATGGTGACACACACCTGTCATCCCAGCACTCGGGAGGCTGAAGCAGGAGGTTTGTTGTGAGTTCGAGACCAGCCTGGGCTACATAGTGAGTTCCAGGTCAGTCTCAACTATATAGTGAGACCCTGTCTCAAAGAACAAAAAAATAAAACAGAAATGAAACACACAGTTGATTACAGTGAAAGACACATTGCCACAAATCCCTTTCGACGCCCCCCCATACACTTTTCTCACTGTCCTTGCTACTTCCTGCAGCAGCTCCGGAGTGCTCTTTCCTGAGGGTCTTCAGTTGTGCTGTCCTGGTTGCCTTGATGTCCCGAATGGACTGGAAATGTCTATCTTTCGTGGTCATTTTGACTCTGGTGGGGAATGAGCTGGTCATCACATGGCTCTAATCAAACTGCACAGGCACCAGATGCCCAGACATCTGGTTAGACATTCTTCCGGTCCTGTGTGTGCATAGATGTTCTGACTGAGGCCAGCGTTTGAATAAGATGGGGCCAAGTGGATGCCATCCAGCCTGGAGCCCCTTCCAATCTTCTGACAGAGAGGAGCTGCACCTGCAGGACTGCTGGGTAGGGGGTCTGCTCTGTGCCTCTGTCTCAAGAGGGCAGCTGCTCCGTCTCTCCCGGGGGTCTGCTTTACCAGCTGCAGATGTTGGGCCTCCTCTTGAACTCTCTATGGAACCCAGGCTGGCTTCAAACTCACAGCGATCCTCCTGCCTCAGCCTCCTGAGTGCTGGATTACAGGTGTGTGCCTTCGCACCTGGCTTAATAATGATTCCTTAAGAGCCAACTACAATCTGTGTGAAATTACCACGCGTGACAACAGTGACTCAAAAGGCAGAAGGGCATGAGTGTGGACAGAATGACAGGAGCTCTTAGTTTCATTTGGGAAGTGGTGAGAGAATGGATATAACTTTCGCTAGATGGTTCAAAGTCAAGGGTGCATGTTATGACCCACAGAGACACGGAGAATGCTGAACTCCTGGGCCAGCAGGGGAAAATGCCAGAATCATAGAATTAATGGAGCTTAAGATGGGCAAGGAGGTAGGGAAAACACTACACGAAGCCTGGACAGACAGAGGACCATTTCTGATAGATACAAACCCAAACACATTAGTAAAGGCGGATGGTCAGGCAAGTGTTCCCAAAGCAGAAGTTATTGAACGGTGGGCTCACGGCGGGCTCATGGTACACAGTTCCATGTTGTGTGTGACAGCCTTGCCTGACAGACACAAAGCCACGGAGAGGCTGACGTGGAAAGATTGGAAGGTTGTTTGGGAAAACACGGAGCAAAGCAGAGGGGTCTTGTGATGCTGTTGGCCAGGACAAGCTCGTAAGCCAGAGGCCTCACCAGGAATAAAGAGGGACCTTTCATAATAGCAAAAGACTTGCAGCCCCAGAAAGCCAGGACCGACTTCTAGTCACCTAATATCTCGCCCCAAAATATGTGCAGGAAAAATGGCTAGAATAAAAGAAAAGACAGACAAGCATGTAACGATGCTTTTCCCTGTCATTGATAGAGCAAGCAGACAAAACATCACCACCAAGACAGTCTGAACATAATCTGATGTTGAATTAACTGACAGATACAGAATACAGCACCCAACAAAAGAACATGCATGATTACCAGCAGTGCACAAGACATTTAGCAAACCTGACCAAAGATGGACTGTAAACACCTATCCACGGGCTTCACGTGACTCAGATAATCCAGAATTGGGTTTCTCACTGCAGATTTTTATCCTCGAAACTCAGAAGCACTACAGCAAAAAATTCTCACAAACCTAGAAATTATCCAAACACGTGGAAATTAAGTAATATGCTCTAGATAACTTGCAGATCGGAGAATAAATAACAGTTAAATTAGAAATCATTGTGAGGTCTATCATAATAAAACAGTGTAACAAGACATACGGAATGTGGTCAAAGCTGTACTTTAGGTAAATTTATAGCCGTAATTACGTACACGAGAAAAGAGGCAGAAAACTGATTTTCCAAGTGCGAATGGTGAACACTGAGAGGTACTGAGTGTCGCCCGCTGGTCCTGCACAGCCAGGGACTTCTCCAGGCACCGCCCCTGCTGGGAAGGCCTTTGCCACCCAATAACGGGGCATCGTGGGAGCCCAGATCCCTCGTCTTAATTAGGGATCACTGTAAAGGGTCACCCTAGTGCTAGAGCTCCCCACGTGGCTAGATGAGTCCCTCGTTGGAATTGCTTGGTTTTTCTACTTCTCTCTCTGTCTTAGTCACTTTCTTTGTTGCTAGGACAACAAGGAAACCTGACACGGGCATCGTTAAGGCCAGGTTTGTTTAGTCTATAGTTGGCTGGCTCCAAGGCAGGAAGATGTGGTGGACGGGCCTGGCAGAGGAAAAGCTGCTCAGGGCACAGTGGCCAGGAGGCAGGGAGAGAAGGGAGGAGCCAGGGAGGCAGATAGGTCCTTCTGGGCCACACCTCTGGTGACTTCCGCTAGGCCTCCCAACAGCAAGTCAGCTGTTTGCACCCCGTAATTCAATCATCTTTCAAAAGGCCCTCTGCTGAGAGAGTGAGGCTCTTTTGGGGACATATAGATAACATCTTCAGATAGGGGATTCAGTCCCTGGCAACCAACCGCCTCAAAGCCATTGTCCCAGGAAACCTGAATCGCAGCAGTGGCTTTGGGAGGGGCCATGGGAAGCAAAATGTGATGCTGGTGAAGGTGTTAAAACTTCCTCCTGTGGGGAATGGGGTGGGAGACTGGTGGAGGGGACCTCCCTAGGGGGAACAATAGATGGAGTGTGTAAGAGATTGGGGGAGTAGCAATTCTAAGGAGTAGGAAGTGGATCACTGCTGCCAAGTGTTCTATCAGTCATGGGAGGAGACAGTGAAAGGCTGAGAGTGATTACTCACCAGTGCAAGTGTGGGATGAAGTCAGCAACACGATAGGAATAAGGGATTCTAGCCAAGAATGGTGGCTCATGCCTGTAATCCCAGAACTTGGGAGGCTGAGGCAGGAGGATTGTGAGTTTGAGGCCAGCCTGAACTACATGGTGAGACCCTGTTTCAAAAAAAAGGAATTCCAGATTCTGCTCCTGTTTAAAACATGAGCAAAAACGGGCCGGGGATTTAGCCTAGTGGTTTTGCCGCCTGCCTGGCAAGTGCAAGGTCCTGAGTTCGATCCCCAGTAGAAAAAAAAAAAAGAAAAAATTTGAAGAGATCCACACCCAAACATGTTGTAACCAAACTGTTGACTGCTCAAGACAAAATGAATTTTAAAAACAAATACAGTCTTAATGCAGTGAGAAGTAACACATCATATATAAGGGACCCTCAATCAGATTAATAACTTATTTCTTGCTAGAAACCATGGATGTGAGGAGACAGATGTATTCAAAATGCTGAAAGGAAAACCAGTCAACCAAGAATTTTGTAGCTGGCAAAACTGTCTTTCGAAAGTGAGGGAGTATTTAAGATGTTCTCAGATAAACAAAGACCATGAAAGTTCATTGCTATGATAAGAAAAAGTTAATTGCCAGAAGACAAATACCAAAGGGAGCCCTGCAAGATAAGAAAAGACATTTGGCACCAACTTGACTCTGACAAAGAGATGTTGTACAGTAGGAAAAGATACTGCACTGGTATAAAGGAAATCATAAAAATATTTTTAATTTGTAACTCTTTTTATATATTTGATTTGAAAGACACCTGAAGAAAGTTATAATTATGAATCCAGGTTGATGGGCACACAATGGATAAAGATGTAATTTAGGCCAGGTGTGGTGACACACACCTGTGATCCCAGTACTTGGGAGGCTGAGGCAGGAGGATCACCTAGAGTTTGAGGCCAGCCTGAGCTACAAAGTGAGAACCCGTATCCAAAAAAAAGGCTAAGTGTCAAAATATGTAATTTGGATGACAGTGGTAACATAAAGTTTGGGAGGATAGGCATACAAAGGTTTTGTGTACTATTTAGATTAAGTTGGTATTAATCAGAAGTAGATTATTATAAAATATTAATTGTAATCTCTAGGGTAACCAGAAAAATAAAACTAAAAAATGTACAGTAAAAGAAATTACAGTGGAATTAGAAACTAGAAATTAGAAATTAGAAAGTGGGCAGTAATAGAGGAACTCAAATTTAAAAAAAGACATAAAATAAATAGGAAAATGAGTATACTCCTTTCTTCCGAGTTACTATATTAACTGTAAATACACTAAACTGCTCAACTGAGAGACAGCAGGAGTTAGCAGATTAGATAAAGTAACAGGATACAATGAAATGGTGTCTAGAGACTCACTTTAGAACTACAGAAGCCAAAGAATTTGAAAGGAAAAGAACAGGAAAAGATATTCTATGTAAACAGTACTCAAAATAGAGATAGAGTTGCTACATTTAACATCAGACAAAATATCCATGAGTATAAATCATTAGAGCCAAAAGAGATTATAGAACAGAATCCTTCATGAAGGTATAGTAATTATAAACACAAACACACCTAACAACACAGTTCCAAAATACAGAAAGCGAAAACAGAACTGAGAGGAGAATCAGACAATTCAGGTAGGGCAGTTGGAATGGACAGGGAAATTAGAAAGGCAATTAGAAAGTTAGCAAGGAGGGCCCAGGGATTTAGCTCAGGGTGAGGGTTAGGACTACCTGGAAAGTGTTAGGTCCTGAGTTTGATCTCCGGTACAAAAAAAAAAAAAAAAAAAAAAAAAAAAAAAAAAAAAAAAAA